GCAAGAAAAGATGTGACTGGACTGCGTACACTGACATGGAGAGAGCATGATAGGCAAATGGTACGGTTTTCATCAGCATAGCAAGATCTTTGTCCGAATCATTAGAAATATTTTTCTTGGTATAATATTGAATGTCTTTGCATCATGCCAAAAAAACCCAATAGTGGTAGTTCATACGATCTTTTGACAGTTTGGTTCATAATAAATATATGTCCAAGTCTCATAAAATCACATAAAAATTACATAAATCTCATAAAAACTTCTCATAAAATAACCAATTCTGAGGAAACCTATTCAGTGGAACTTACATTTTGCCGCTGTTACTAATAGTTAAGGTTAATTGGTTGTAATGTATGACTCAGTTGTTACCTGTTCTCAGAAATTGCAGAATGACTTGGAACTTTCCGTTTCATATAAACATGCTCTGGTGGAAGAATGCTAGAATGACATCCAGAGTGTTTATGTGACATTTCAAGCAGAAGTATTCAATTAAAGCGGACACGGCAGTGATCTTCTGGAGTTACAATCATGTCTGGTAGAGTTATTCCTCAGCCAGGAATTAATGAAGTCGTATGCCTCTGTTATGATATTTGGGGATCTTTGTCTAAGAATTAGGAGATTCTGTTTAAAAACAAATTGTTAAGGTCTAGAACAATTGCTCCTAAATTTGATACTTAAACTGAAAGACAAAATCAAAAAGTGTAGAAAATAGGAGGACTATTCCAGTGATTGTCCGTTAATTTTTTCAGTGCTCCTTCACTGTTTTATGTATCAGATGTGACTTGGAGCATACCTATTACCTGTTTGAAATAAATTCCTAACACAATACTCTATTTAACTGATTGCTGATCTTGTCCTAAGTTTGCAAATTAGTACATAGCTACAGGCACAGAATAATTGTGGAAGATGCTTATTGTTGAATGAATTCTCAGATGGTGAAATGGTTGCAATTAAGCTAAATGTCACATTAAACAGAGCATAATTATTGTAGCAATCCTTATTAAGCCCTAACATACTTATTAAGCAGCTCTTATTGGGATTCCTATTTTAGGTTTGATGTTTAGTGATGTTTCATTTTGTCTGTAACATGTAATTATTGTCTGAATAGCCTGCTTGCCTTATGCTCGTATGACCTGTGTGTCAAAGAGCAGATGTCACTGTATCCTTTCAGACATAATTATTGCATAGTTGTAGGTAGGTCTCGCAGGCAGGAAGAGCGAATCAGTGCACACTACACCAAGTAAACTACAATTGCTGTGTTATTGCCTGCTTTTAACAGGATTAGAGAAGCTGTATGGGATGATAGTACAGTACTCTTTCTGGCCGATAAAAGATGGCAAACAGAACAATATGTAGTTTTTCTTTATTAGATTGTCTTGATTTATTAATCCCTTCCATGTCATCATTACTTGTAGTGTTACAGATGTCTTGTAAGAGACAGTAGGAAGTCTTTGTTTACAGTTTTCCATAAACAAAGACATCTCACTGTCTCTTACAATTTTTGTACAAGTCAAGCAACTTCTGCTTGACTTTTCATTTCTGAAGCTGGGAGCTCCCCTGTTTCATCGTACGTCCACAGTGTCTCCTTCACCACCTGTGTCCTGCTGTGATGAGATCAGACATCCATCCAGTATCTGATTAGGTTACAGTGGTTAGGAGATGGATGAGATCTATCCTTTATCTTTATCTTTTTGTACTTTCTATAGACAGATCGCTGTGAAATATATTTTGTTTTGTTTAGTCTTCTGCTTTAATTACCAGTGGCCTCCCGTTTTAGATCGGGAGTTATAAAACATCTTTCTGCAGTTCAGGCTTTTGATGCCTAAATTCCAGTGGGTTTTTAATAAAATGGAGTTAAGATTATTATTCACATTGTGCTGAGATGTTTCTTTTAATTGACTCAGATTTATTTCAAGAAAAGTGTAAATTTAACATGACTCTTCTAAAAATAATTAAATTCTAATTACAAAGCAGACTATTGACTAGGAAGTATTTACATCCTTCTCCTCATTTCAGCTACTGAACAGGATATTTAACTAAGCAATGAAACATTGTGGATAAGTTTACTGCCGCGTCCTGAAGAGATCATCAGGAAGTGAAAAAAATCTATAGTAATGGGATTTGCATCTGATTTTTTACCTTGTTTTTCATGCTTCTTTTTTTGGTATGCCAAGAGCAGGCTGCGTTTTTAGGATGTTTGCCAGAGAATAATTGCAAATTGTGATGTGTCTAACATAGTGTAATTACTTATGAGTTCTTGCTTACTTTTTTTTTTTTTGGTAATTTTTCATTCTAAATTCACATCTGACATTAAATAATGGCCACTTCTTGCTTCTGGTTTCTGCTGCGTCTCTCTCTATCCTGTTAATATAAGGATTGGTAAATTTGCAGCCATTACATAGAGTAGTTCATAAACAACACCCAGAAATGTATAAAAAGTACCAACGAGATGAGAGTTCTGTGCAGTAGTGAAAGAGTGGTGGTAGGTTTGGTGATTGTAATTTGGCCACTCTTCTGCTACAACTGCTTTGTATTACTCCATGGGGGGGGGGTTAGTGCTATTTTTAATGCTATTTGCTATCCTAAGAAACAAGTTGTAAGTCCTTAATTGGTGTAATGTGTTTCAAGGTCCTACTGATGAGTAAAATACTGTTATGCTCAATGCTATAGTGAAACAATATTACTCTGGAATTTTTGCTTTAATAACAAACTGGTGAAAACCAAACTTTCCCTGTACTGAAACTTCCACATCTCAAAAAATTACACTGCCTTTGCTGAACTGCTTCAGAGAAATAAATGCTGAAAAAAGCTCATAATACAATTACATTGCGATGCTTAGTCTTTGTGGTAATTACTTTGCTCTGTTAATAAAAATCTACCTAGTACTTGAGGTTTGAATTTTGACTACTATTTTTAGTAAGATGACAGTATATACATAATCCGATGTCTGGTTTTGAATCTTTTTGGCATTTGTATAAGAATATTCTTCTAGATCAAGGGTAAAGTATCAAGGATGAACAGTTAAATTGTCAATGGACCTCTTCATGTAACTGAACTTCAAAAGCATGTTTAAAGATTCATATTTTTGAATATTCAGTTTTTAAGCACGTTGGATTCTGTCGAAAGCCTGTCATTAGTGTAGTACAGTTTGTAGAGCACAGTATAGTTTGATGCTGCCTTTTCCCATTGAAGATATGTGTTATGGCTGACTCCTTACCTTGGACTGATATCTTTTGGCGTGAAACAGAGGCATAAAAGGGACAAAAATTTTTCACATAGCCTGAAGGATTCAACAAAAGCCGGAGCTGTCTAAACCCTGACGACCCTGAAAACCCCTCTTCCCCCCTGCCTGTCCACCATGGGAGAAGGTGCCAGACCGTGGGTAGGGTATCAGTCCTGGTCTGGGGGATGAGGAGGGAGGAGTGCCTGCAGAAGGGACATGGCAAGAGCGCGGGATGTGTTGGCGGAGAAGCTTGGCTATATCCAATGCCTATTTACTTTTCCCCCTTTATTAGCAATGGAAAAAGGACAGGAATTTTTATTTATTTATTTTTGCTTTTTATTACACTGTGTGAGGCCCCTGGCTCTGGAGGATTAACTCCTCTATTCATGAAGAAAGAACAATGGGTTTACCAACAAAAACTCCATCAGCTGGATGAAATACCTGGCAGTATAATTGCAGCCATTATGGGGCTGGTTTTGGTTTTTATGTGTGTGTTTGGTTTTGCAGTGTAAGCATGTAACTGATTCTGGTAGTTTTAAAATAAATTTTAAAAAACTTGACTGGAGCAGCATTTCTTAATATAAATTAACCTATTGTAAGTTCATTTACGGCCTTGAAAAAATACAAAGGATAGGGTAGTTGCAGTGTATTTTCAAGCAAGAATTATATATGCAGTGTTATTACTGAGTGAAATGGCTCTGTTATGAGGTATTGGAAAGTTTTTAAACTTAGAAATGAGATGAGAGCCACTTGAGACATGATCATCAAAATCCCTTTAGTATGTTAAGACTTGGCCCCCATACTTTTCTCTACCTTTTCTTTTCAGTTTGTAAGCAATTTTGTACTTTATAGCCCTCAGATTATTTTTTTTGGCTTGGTGTACTTTTCTCGAATAATATTGTTACAAAAAAATCTTTTTATTTAGCCTTGTCTGATTATGTTCACTTGAAAATCCTCAAATAAGATTCACATGATTACATATACATGTTCATGTGCTCCAGAACTAAAAATGACATCGCTGGGTTTATTTTTATTTAATTTCCTTCCTGAATGGCTAGTTTTACCACCTCTTATAGTGCCATGTGCTGCAAATGGGAACAACTTGCTCGAGGTACATCCCAGGGTAATTCAGAAGTTGATGCACGTGAGATGCCTTCTATGCTATTGGGGCTCTGCTGTCAGAGCATCACCCTGCGGGACCTGTCCTGCAGTACATACACTATCACATTAAGTCAGTTCCTCCATTTCAAACTCTTGTTAAGAGTATGCTCTTATTTTCATAGTATTTATCCTCACTGTTTTATCACTGTGGATGATGATTCAGCTGCTTCCCAGTGCAGTTTATTCCATTGACTAATTGCTCTATTATGACTGTTTTCCTCTTATCTAACTTGACTTTCTTTTCCTATTAGATTATTGTTCCTTTATGATCATTTTTATATTCATTTGTACAAGTGAAATTAAATATTCATATTTCCTCAGGCTTTGGGATGCATTTTACTGCTACAGAAATGTGCCTGGCCTGCCTTTAATTTGAAATGTTGCGGGGCATTTTTTTTTTCCCCCACAAGTTTCTCTGAGTGGTCTAGTGATGTGAGCACACTGGGAGGAGAAATGACTTGCAGCCTTTAGGAAGTGTTTAACCAATTTTAGGGACTAGCAGGTAGTTTTCTACTTTTTAATCCGTGGCAGGGTATGGTTTGGATGCTACCGGGCATCAGGACAGATCTGTGGCAGGCGTATTGCATGGCATTTCTCAACACCCCCTCTTTTGCAGGTCACTGGGGCCGGTGCGTAGGTGACTGCGGCTTGGGGGGCATTCGGAGTCGGGCCGTCTGGTGCACCCACGCGGAGGGCTGGACAACGTACCACGCGAACTGCCACCAGAAGGACAAACCCGAAAGCCAGAGGAGGTGCTTTAAAGTCTGCGACTGGCACCTGGAGCTGTTCGAGTGGGAAGTTTCGGGATGGGACAGGTGTGGGCTCGTCCCCTTCGCTGGTGGTGAGGCGAGAGCCGAGGCTTGTGTCACCGCGCAGCACGGGCTGCAGCACCGGACTGTCCGCTGCCTCCAGAAGCTGAACAGAACGGTTGTCGCCAACGAAATATGTGAGTATTTCACGCCGCAGCCACCCGCCGAGCAAGCCTGCCTGGTGCCCTGCCCGCGGGACTGCGTCGTGTCCCAGTTCTCCAGCTGGTCCGAGTGCAGCACGGGCTGCGCCAAGAGCTTGCAGCACCGGACGCGGGCGGTCATCGCTCCCCCTCTCTATGGGGGTGCCCCGTGCCCAAATCTGACCGAATCCAGAGCCTGCGGCGCTCCCGTCTGTCCTCTTGGGGAGGAGGAGCACACTTACAGCCTCCGAGTGGGGTCGTGGGGTGAATGCCGGCTGCCCCATCCTAAAGACGGTGACCTGGCAGGGAGGACTATGTCGGAGTTGGGTTCGGACTCTGGAGAGCGAAGCACGCCTGGACTTCAAGGCTATAAACCCCACCACCGTCCCGGGGAGGTGGAGATCGGTTATCAAACCAGGCAGGTCAGGTGTGTAAGGAACGATGGAAAAAATGCAGCGCTGAGGTAAGGGTGCTTCGTCTTTTATTTCATCCCCAGTGGTTAGTTTGATGGAGCGCTTGCTCTGTGTCGCAGCACCACAGCAAACGTGCTCCCCTTCTTGAGTTTTAAATGCAAATTTTTATGTGTTTTCTTTATGGTCTTTTTTTTTTTTTTTTGATTTAATTCCCTTCTTGTAAAGCTAGCGTATGCTGAATATTTTGCATTCTTCTACGATTTGTGACTGTTTAATTCATTTTATGTTTTTAATAATTCTCTTATGTTTTATTTTGTTGTTTTGAGGAAACATCGAGGAAATGGAATTATATATCACTTTGTACTGTTGCTGGGCCCTGGCTGTGGGAGAGGGAGTTTTCATTCTCAGTCATGTACTGCATGTATTTGGCAGAAGAGGTTAAAATTGCACCAGCTTAAACTCCTTCATTCTTACAAATCAACACTGGATGAACTTAAGTCTGAAAAGTTTGGTCTTGCGAATTTACTAGAAGGTATTTCTTGGAAAGATAGATCAGTGAGCAAACCTGTGATTGTCCTCCTGCTTACTGAGGAGCCTTCCCATCTTGGTGTAACTCCAGGATGCTGATACAAGATAGGTGACTTGCACGTCTGTCTTTGGTAGTGGTTGTTGATTTCTGTCCTCATGTGTTAGATAATCTAACAATTTCTCTTAGTCTACGTAGGTTGCTTTGCTGTAATTCAAATGTGAAGGTTACAGTAATGTGCAGCAAATAATGGAAAGATTTATTCTCTCTATTTCTCACATTTAAATTTAAGTTATCTAAGCTCAGCCATTTGACTTCAGGTTGGATTTAGGCAGGTGCCAGGAGCTATAGATGACTGAGAAATTGATTGAGTTCTGAGAAAGTCAGGATTTCTGGAGAACTTCTTATGTTCTGTTTTTCAGGGGTATTAAAAGTTCTTGAAAAATCCTGCTCCTGAATTTTGTGGAAATCAATCTGTTTCTTGGAAATCTATAGCTCCTGGCACCTGCGCAAACTCAAATTGCAGAGAGAAGGGGTTATTTTATGTCCAATTCTCTACCTGTGTTAATGTCTGCAGCAGTTTTGCACACATACTGAGGTGAAAATATACATTCTAGCCTTTTTCTTACCCCCTCCTATTATACCTGTAGCAAAGTATGGGGGTTTTTTTATTGGTTGGAAAAAAGTCAAGCTTTGTGAACTGTTCCAGCAGTTTCTAACATCTTGACTTTATTACTTGTCTCTAAATATATGCTGATTCTAAATATACAGATTTTATGCTCTTGTAGCTGCTTGAGTTTAATGGAGTCACTTGTGATTTATGCTGCCGTGCGACCAGCAGCAGGTTTATGTCGGCTAACACTTGTTAGCTGTTCTTTTGCCTCTTGTATCTCATTCCTTATCAGAGGCGCTGGGAAAGGGATCCTGACTTTGTTAAAATTTCACCCTCACTGCTATATTTGCTGTAAGAATTGGGAATGGAAGATGCTGTTTCTGTAAATGTTTTCTCTTCGTTGTGCTACTGTGTGAGTTATACACTGAATTTCTGGATGACAGTGCAAAGGGTCCTGGGAGCTTTAGTTTCAGTGACTCTACCCCTTGCTCCTTTCTGGCTTGTTTTTTGGTGATCTAGCCCCCTTTTTGGGACTGTACAACTCCATTAGCCGCCTCCTGGCAGACTTTTTCTGCTGAGGCTGTGTCTCAGATTTACTGCAGAGAGCTAAGCCTGACCCATCCCTTACTCTTACTCCAAATACAGGAGAAAAGTCCATTTATTGAATAGAGGACAAAAGGTCACGTCGTCTTACAGTGTCCGGATAATCACATACTTTTCCTTTCTCCTTTTGGACCTAAAGTCCAAACCTAAAAATCCAGCCTAAAATCCAGCCTGTGTTTAATTCCAGGGCTGGAGTGTCACTAGTATCAAATAGCCATGACAATGACTCCCTTTAAGCATCCCCTGGTAATGTCCTTCTCATTCAGTTGTGCAGCATATTTGCTGCCATTCTTCTGAAGAATGGACGCGATCTTGCAGATGTAGCTTTACAAGAGCGATGATATTTTGGCTACTGATAAAGAAGAGTAAATGCATTTACATAACCCTGTAGCAGGGTTTGGCAGGCAGCCAAGCATCTGCTGTAAAACTGGAAAGAAGTGCCTTATTTGTGCTTTTGCATTTTCATGGCCAAGGTTTCCTATTTCGACTAATGCCGTCGAGTAAGTACCAATGAGAGATACAAATTAAATTTCTGGAAAACTGAGGCAAGGAGAGGGATATCCAAAGACATGCTTTAGCAGCAGGCTCTGAGCTGCTGGTCTGCCAGGGCTTTGCCACCACCCTGCCTCCCACCGCTGCCAGATTCTTGCAGGAAGGCGGTAGGTAATAGGAGTGGTCAGCTAACCACCCCTGACTGATCGAAGGCCACGTGAGGAGAGGAACCGTATGCTCATCTCGCCTCCTAATTTATGATGCAATGGCAAAGATGCCTAATTTATTATCAAGGTTGTTTAATTTACGGGTGTCTAATTTCGGGGCTGTGAAGCAGCCAGTGAGGCTGGCGAGCAGCAGCAGCCGCTGTGCTCACAGATGGGAGAGGGTACTGGCTACGCTCCTCAGTGTGAAAGAACTGTCTTTTGCCCAAAATTGGATTTTGGTGGGCTTGGGTGCAAGCTGGTTTTTAAAGACTAAAAGATGGAACTCATTCACTTCTTACAGATGCTGGGTTACTGGCAGGACATTAATATTGGCCTCTTTGCTAACAAGTTTGTGATTGATGGGAATGGCAGATGGGGTGTCCTTTCTCTGTGAAATAGGTAGCAGTGGTGGGAAATGTGCCTGATATTTGTTTTCATTTTTTCACTGATGCTTAATTTATGCTGTTGAACCCTGCAAAAAGGATCCTTTGGCTTTACAGTGAACCCTCAGGTAGGAGCTGAAGAATCCTTTGCATTATAAGGAAATGTCGTGGTTTAAGCCCAGCCGGTAACAGAGCACCATGAAGCCGCTCGCTCACTCCTCTCCCCTGGCCCTGGTGGGCTGAGGAAGAGAAAATATAAAGAAACACTCGTGGGTCGAGACAAGGACTGGGAGGGATCACTCCCCACTTATGGTCACGGGCAAAAGACAGGCTCAACTTGGGGAAAAAAACCCCCAAATTCAATTTAATTTACTACCAATCAAAGCAAGGATAATAGGAAGTAAAACCAAATCTTAAAACACCTTCCCCCCACCCCTCCCTTCTTCCTGGGCACAGCTTCACTCCCGAATTCTCTCCCCCCTCCCCTCCCACCAGCGCAGGGGGACGGGGAATGTGGGTTGGGGTCAGTTCCTCACACGTTGTCTCTGCCGCTCCTTCCTCCTCAGGGGCAGGACTCCTCACTCTTCCCCTGCTCCACCGGGGGTCCCTCCCACGGGCTGCAGTTCCTCACAAACTTCCCTCACGTGGGTCCTTTCACGGGCCGCAGTCCTTCAGGCACAGGCTGCTCCAGCGCGGGCTTCCCCACGGAGCGGCGGCCATCTTGGGGGGCATCCATCCCCCTGCTCTGGCGTGGGCTCCTCTCTCCCCGGGCTGCAGACGGGCATCTGCTCCCCTGCTCCCCTCCACGGGCTGGGGGGGACAGCCTGCCGCCTCACCGCGGGCTGCGGGGGCATCCCCTCCTCCCCGCTCCTCCTCCTCCTCCTTCTTCACTGACCTCGGGATCTGCAGAGGGGTTCTTCTCACGTCCCACTCCCCTCTCCGCTGCAGGTTCCCCTCTTAACTCTGTTCTCCCAGAGGCGCTACCGCCATCGCTGATGGGCTCGGCCTGGGCCAGAGTCGGGTCCAACTCGGAGCCGGGGAAGCTTCTAGCAGCTTCTCACAGGGGCCGGGCCTGCAGCCCCTGCCCCGCTACCAAAACCCCGCCACACAAACCCAAACCAGGAGATCTGTGTGTCCGTACCAGCCTTAAAGGTGCAAGCAAAAATCCTAGCAATTTTAAAGGTGAAAATCTAAATGGGAATTACTTGGAGAGGAGCGCAAGCATGTGGAAGATTGGACGTGCTGTATCGGGGAAACAGAGCTGGGGTATGTTTTTGATGAAATATTTTTTCAGTTTGGAGGTTCTACATTTGTTAAAATGGAAGGCAAAAGGGAGAAAGAAAGAGGAAAGGGAGGGACAGATCTTTCTGAAAATACTTGAAGACAATTGAGCAGCAGAACATCAATAGACCTTCAGACAGGTTCATATCTGCTCAGAAACAGTTTTGGTGTAGAAACTTTATATTAGTGAAAATAAAAGGAATAACATCAAAATAGAATGATTTTATGGATCTGATTTGAAGCTTTTAAAAAGCTGAAGTTTTTTTTTTATACAGTTTCAGATAGAATTCAGATTTCATTTTATTTCAGAAAAAAGTTTTGGTTTGCATTAAATTTCATATCCAGTAACAAATTCAAACATAAGCATTTCCATGCATTTAAAAAAAAAATAAATCTCTGAAACAGTTGCAAGAAATGAATGTGCTAGAACTTCTGCTTTTTTTGGGTTTCTGTCTTGTCACAGTTGTAAAAATCTACTGAATAGTGAGACAAAGGCACTTGTGTTTCTTTTCTTCTTAAAAAAAAAAGTTATTTAGGATAGACACTAAATTATAATTTAGTGAAATGAGCACCCATAGCTAAACATTGAAATCCTGAATAAATTTAACCTGATTTTCTAACCTGATGTGTGCGCTCACAAAGCATACTGAGAAGTTAAAGTCAGGAGCAAACAATTTTAGGGTATTTTATTATTATTATTTGGATTAGGAGTCTTTTTAGGTACATATTTCTTAAACTCTTCAGTCTATGTATAAGATGACAACAATGATATAATAGAGTTGGATTTAGGTTTCTGTTTACTTTGCCGTTGTAAGTGAAAATTCAGGTCAAACTCAGTCAAGGGATAACCTATCCGTCAAGGCCGAGGTAGAGCAGCATTCAGCTCTTTTGTTTGCCTCTGTAATTTGAATTTCCATTATCCATTTCCTAGTGGATTGTGCTTAAC